ACACACACACACACACACACACACACACACACACACACAGAGGGAGAGAGAGAGAGAGAGAGAGAGAGAGAGAGAGAGAGAGAGAGAGAGAGAGAGAGGGGAGAATGTGGGTTCTTTTAAGGGAGTTTCCAAATAAGACTGTGTGGGTTTGGGGTGGATATCCTGGACACTGTGAAACTGCCACTGCCACCTGGCTTTGGATGAGAATGACTCCAGTCCCTCACAACCTTTGAGATCTGGGGGAACAAAGGCTCAGAGCCATATAGGAAGCACACTGGCATGTGGGGGAATACCAATTTGATACAGTCACAAATTCAGTTTGCAAAGAGACCAAGTGGTGGTGAGCTCTTAGAGGCCCGAATAGAGTTCAGAGGGAGGAGGTACGGGGAGGGGCAGGTCAAGGCAAAGCTCAAAGGACTGATGCTCACCCCCACCCCCAGCTTGTCCTCTCAAGTAATCAGGGTGAGAACTTGGGTAACCTGATCAGATGGCTCAGTGGTCAAACTCTAGAAAAATCTAGAAAGCAATAATGGTATATTTTGATAAGCTTTGTCTCTATGTTCTGATGTTTCTGCCAAATTAATGATATTTCCTCTTTGTTCTTCGGTGCAAACTCAGGGTCACAGAATCATGGATACTGGGAGTTGGATGACGGCCACTTCAGTGGTCACCTGCTCTAGCCCTCTGTCCACTGAACAACGTGCCCTGCAGGTCTCCAGTTGCTTGGGTGGGAAGCTGAGTCTAAGGAGACATCATTGCTCAGGCAAGTTGCCTTGTTACGAAGAGACTCTATTCACTGACTCATCCAGCTGTCTGTTACCTCTGCACTGTGCTTCCGAGTCTCCCACTGCAGACAGCTAAGATCCCATCCACTTTCCTTCCCAAGGGACACATCACCATTTCCAGCAGGATAAGGATGCTTCAGCCCCCCATTTACCTCACTTGGTCTCATCTTAGCATGCCCCTTTCCATCACAGACAGGTCCAGAAGATGCTGTGTGTGTTTTCATGGCATTCTGCCTCCTGTTGTAATCAAACCTGTTCTCAGAAATGACACCAACCACCTAAGACGCGAGTGACTGACCATGCTTATGCCGTTACTAGGCTGGGGCTGTTTATATTTTAACAGGTTCCAAACCTTAAGCCAAAGGAAGAGCTGGGAATGCTTGGGTAGCAGCTACGGGAAACATGGGGGGGACAGGAGGAAAGGCATAGAAAATTTCCTGGAGTTCTTAAA